GGTTGAGGTTGCACCGATGGGCAGCGGCTTCTAGTGAGAGATCCCAGGTGCTCAAGCCGTTAAGCGAAACACGGAGAAGGGCACCGATGGCTCCTCCATCGGACAGACACAGATCTCCAAGCAGCCAGAGCCTGGGAGCTGAACCCAGAGTGATCAGACAGGAAATCGGGGCAGATGTTAACTGTGAGGGGGATGAACCCCGGGGACACTTCCCCAGGGGCCGGGGCGGATTCCCAGCGCTGGTGGTTTGTGAAGGAGCCTGAACGTGTTTCTCAGAGCTCGGCTCTAGGTCATGGAGGGATCCATTCGGGGGAGACCCACAGGGCTGGAGAGAGCCAAGGCCTGGCTATTGGCCGTGGGGTGTTTCCCCCAGGCAGGGAGCTGAGGCGGGTCTGTGCCCGTGTCTGTCTGTGACTCATCACTTCTCCCTCCCCATGCTGGCCTGGCCTCTCCCTCTGCCTCTGTCCTAGGTCTCCTGCCGGCCCCCACACTAGCTCTGGAATATCAGCTCACAGTGCTTCTTCCCGGGCACACCACTGAACTGATGTGCCAACCTCCTGGGCATGTGCAGCCTTCAGGATACAGATTCTTCTGCCAGACAGGGCAGCAGGGCCCCAGCGCAGTCCCACGTAATGTGGCAGGAGACATGCTGGCTCTCACAGCTGAGAAGGGAAGTGCCGGGACCTACACCTGTGTGTACTGGACACAGGGACCCAATGGACCGGTCTCTGAGAACAGCAGCTCCCTCTCCATCTCCATAGCAGGTGAGCCCCTTTTCCTGCTCTTGGACGGGCGAGTCCCTGGGAATCCAAAGCCCCCCCGGTTCTGCTGCCCCACCCCTGTCCTTGGTCCAGCCATTCCCAGCATCTCAGACACTTGGTGATGCCTCAGCAGGTTCCACCAGGGCAGTGGCAGGGCACTGCTGTGGGGAAGCTCACAGCACTACAGTCCTGTATGGGCACTGTCAGTGCTCAGCATTCAGAGCAAAGGCACCATAATAACACCCGGTTCTATTCTGGCAGAAATTTGGTCTCTATAGGGGTCCTCAGCCCCAGTGGAGTCACCAGCTGGTGCTCACAGCTCACACAGACATCCCCCTCCCTCCCGCCGTCCCTCCCGTGATGTGCGGTGGGCAGCCCAGCCATCGGATCCCACGCACAGGCCCTGCCCCTGTGGGGTAACATGTGGGCACAGGGCAGAGTGGGACTCAGTGAGGAACAGGGGTGCAGGGTGTGTCCCACGGAGAACTGTCCATCCCCCAGTAACTGAGATGAATTGAGTGTGAAACCATTTGTCCCATAGTGCCCAAGTCCTCCCAGATCCCTGCTTGGTCACAGCTTAGGTCTATACCTGACCCTGAACCCTAGCTCCCAGCCCCCCTCAGGCCCCAGCTCCATCCCGGAGCCTGGATCCCACTTGCTCCTCCCACAGAACCTGTTCCCTGCGATGCCCGGCTGGCCCTGGGGTCACTAACTTGTACAGTTCTGCAGCCACAAGCCCCACAGCCCCATGTCCCAGTGCCAGTGTGGGGCCAGTGCCAGTCTCATGGGGTCAGGGGCTGGGGGCTGGACCCCCCAGCCCATCACTCCCCATTTGTGCAAAGCTCCCCATGCCCAGTAGAGCCTCGAACGTGAGTATGAAATTCACATGCACACATGCACACACGCTGCTGCTGGGCCAGGGGCCGGGCTCAGAGTCACTGACGGGAACGAGAGACACGCTCAGGCCATGAGAGTCCCCAAAGGTCACCAAGGAGCCTGCAGGGAGACCGGACTGAGATACATGACCCACAGCGCCACTGGCCTCCATGGGGTCAGGTCCACAGCTGGGTCAATGGGTCGTAGCTCCATTGGAGTCAGTGGGGCAGGTCCCAGCTGGTGTGTGTGATGCTCCCCCGGGGCACCCAGGGCAGTGAGGGGTGCCACTGGGACTTGCACTTACTGCATAGCAGTGTGGTCTGTGCCTGCTGGAGCAGCTCCTTGACACCCCCCTTCTCAGCTGCAAACCCCCCCCCCAACACCCAGCCCCTTCCAGCTGACCTGCTTGGGCAGGATCTACCCTCTCAGGTACCCAGCCAGGGAGGCTGGTCCCACTGGGGTCCCATAGGGAGATCTCTGTTGCTCAGCGGTTGCCTGGCCCGGTGGGGACGTGGTTCCTGGGCACAGAGCTGGGGCTGGCTGGGGTCTGTGTCCAGAACCCTTCCCTGCTCTGCCCTCCCCTGGCTCCTCCTCTACCTCTGGGTCACCAGTTGCCCACATAGGAACCATCCCCTCCACCTAATCCTGTGTCTTTTCCAGCCCCCCAGCTCACCGTGTCCCCGCCGCAGCCTGTCTACGTGGCCGGGGAAGCCGTGACCCTGACGTGCTCAGCTGCCGGGGTGGACATACTGACCAGGTTCCAGTTCTACAAGGATGAAGTGGAAATCCAGCCCAAGGAATCCGTGTTAATCCTGTACCGTCATGAGGCCTCCATCCAACTGTCGAGTGTGGCCATGTCGGACGTGGGGGTGTACAGCTGTGAATACTGGCGCAGGGGGGAGGACAAGAATGGACCAGACATCGTATCGGAGAGGAGCCAAAACATCCCCATTGCAGTGACATGTGAGCTCCCCCTTCCTGCTGCTGTTTGCTGGGCCCAGGGCCGGGGGTCTGCTCTGTGCAGGGGGTGAGAAGCATCCAGTCACTGGAAAAATGACAGGAACATCCA